TTTAACAAAATAGCTTTATTGATTCCAAGGCTTTATATGATACATGAATTGCCAAGACACTGTATATATTTTATACATTTGTAGTTCTTGAATTATAGTGATTCTTCTTATAGGTGTAATAATTTGTAATTTATTATATTATAGTTAGTACTTGCATATTTCACATATAAATATATGTAAATCTATTTTATTACACTCATTTTTTCAGCTTTTTAGTTACGGTATTGAGTTTTTTCCAAATTGCATGTATATATTTAGGTCATGCTATCTGTGGATTTTATCTCAGGAGAGTAAAGGGATTAGAGCTTTTTTAAAAGTGTAAATGAAATGAAAATAAAATACTTTAGACTCACTAAAATGATTACAATTAAAAGACAAACAATCTCAATATGGTGGGAGTGTGAAGCAATTGAAACTCACAAATGATGCTGGAAGAGTAAAAAGGTATAATCATTTTGAAAAACGGGAGTTTCTGATAAGTAAACAATTCATTTTCTAAGGACTTGCTGATTTTATTTTTCGGTATTTATGCGAGACACTTAACATCTATCCAAAAACAAAATCTTGTTCAAGACTATTCGTAGTAATTTTATTCATGAAAATCCTGAACTAGAAACAACCTAAGCCATCAATGGGTAAATGAACAATTTATGTGATTTTTATACAAAATTCTACTCAGCAATTAGAAAAGAACACATCCTGGTATATATTAGAAAACAGATGAATCTGAATTTTTTTTTTTTTAGCAAAAGATGATTGATATCCTTTATATGAATTTTCAGGAAGCAAAACCCATGTTTAAAAAAAACTGAAATAATGCTTGTCTCAGATATGGAAACTGACTGGAAAAGATTTGAGTTGATGGAAATGTATATATTTTATAAAATCCATAATCCATGTGTTAATATATGTATTTTGTAGTATGTCTATTATACTTCCATTAAAACAGAGTATTGTGGGGAAAATAAAATGGGGAAATACAAGAGATAAGGACATAACAGGGTGGGAATCATTGTTCTAGGACATAAAGAATTTCCACCAAGCTCCTGTTAAAGGATGAAGAAGGGCCTGGGGTAGGGTAAGGAAGTGACTCAGTGAAGACTTTTGAGACCTCAGACAAGGCAAGGTCCACTGTTCCCAATTGTATTTGCCAATTTCACATAAGAGATACCATTGCTGGATGCCTAGGTGGAAGAAGACACATTTAGTGAAGGTCAGCAAAGATCAAGGAGACAGAACACAAAATGTGGACACTAAGCTTCCATGTCCTGTGCCATTTATGGAAAGAGAAATAGAAAGGGAAGATTCATTGACAGGAGAACCACCCTGTCAGGATGTTTAAATTGCCTGGATATTTACTTGAAGTCACTCTTTAACACTGATGGTGATTTCAGTCTGTAGGTTGCATTTATTTTTTTTTAAACGATGATAATGGAGATTTAAGGATAAAATGGGTAGAAAATAACATCCCCTACCCCTACCCCATTGCCGAGTCATAGAGCTACAATCCTTACCAAGTTGTAGGAGATTGAGAGAATAATTAAAGTCCTGGACTTAAATTTGTATCAGTGCTGGAAGGTGCCTCCTCCGGAGCAAATCACTCAGCTAGTGAGTGAGCAGAGCACGCACTGTTGAAGAGTCCCATGAACATGGAAATCTTGTAGGTCCTGCAGTGAGTTACACTTCAACAATGTTTATTATTTATCAAAGACAGGAACTGTGTTGAAGTAAATGCAATTAATTTATTTTATTTTTGATATTGTTTATGATGAAAAAAAACATATCTTCAGTTTCTCTGACATGGTTGTGAATGAGAGATAATGAGACTAATGTGACTTTCACTTTCAATTATCATATGAGGCCAATACATTATCATTAAGTAAGAAATATTTTTGTACTTTTTTCTAAGCATAAAATGTACTCATAGTAACTGTACTGTGAATATATAATTAATGGTAAATTTAAATGCCTCTTTTGATCATATAAAAGACACTATTGCTCTCTTCAGCCAAATAGACTAAATTCTCTTGAGAGGGCAATGTTCATGAGTGCCACTTAAGGGCAATGTTCATGAGTGCCACTTACTGGTTGACATATTTATGGTGCTCTAGCTGCCAGTATTATTATCTGTTGCTGGCTCCTGGGAGCAAAGGGACACAAAAATAAAAAACAAAAAAGGAAAACTTTGCCCTCCCCATACTAGATTCTTCTTTGAGTTTCGTTTCCCCTCCACAATCTTCCTGCCTTTGCTTACTTTTCTGTATCTTCAGCTACTTGTATTTTTGTTATTTGCCTAGAATTTATAGATGTTTGGCAGATGGTCTCAAAGGGGGTTAAGTTGTCATAATGGTATGGGAAATTGAATGATATGGTTTTGGTTGTAGGACTGTATGAATCTTTGAATAACCACACTGAGCTTTAACCTCCTGTAAGCTGGATTTATTTGAGACAGAATCCTGGTTTCTTAGGTTGGTTTCTCTTCTATATGGGTACATTTCTTTTCACCCACAACTGGCACCTATAATTGTCCCTTGGAACCTGTGTTTTCTTGAATTCCCTACTTTCCCAGAATTCCTGATTTTTAAAGGTTACAGTTGTATTGAATTTAAACTTCATCTTCTTCCCCATTTATCCAAGATTCTAGAGGTGAGGGATTCCTTATTTTATCCATCAACTCCATTGACAGGAGAGAAATAGATAGACCCTTGACCTCACCTTCTTTTAAATATTTTTTTTTACTTATCAGTGAACCTTTAATCTTTTTAAATTAATTTATATGTGGTGCTAAAAATTGAACCCAGAGCCTCACACATGCTAGGTATGTGCTGTTCCACTGAGCTACATACAACCCCAGCCCAGACCCTTGACCTTATTAAAGAGTGACCTGAGAGGTTGAGACTTTCCCAGATAAGTGTAAACCAGTGTGCTTATTTTTTATGATAAAATAAGGTATATATAAATGAAAATTCATATCCCTTTTCTAGATCTTTTTAAGGGCCCTGTGTTTTTCAGGTTCTATAGGGATGTTTGGCTTAAGAAACATTATCTACCCAATTTCCTAAACAGGTACAGGGAAGATTTTCTTTAATCCTTGGTATGACAGCCATCAAATTAAGTCTGTAGGGGGCATACTTGATCCTTCCATTCTCAAGATTCTCAGGGATAGGAGACTTCTGCCCATTTCTGAGAGGGAACATTAAAATAAACATCTAAAATCTAATCAGTCCTTATTGTCAGTGGTTTTCTAAGGGCCCAATGCTTTATTCTCTTTCTTTCTTCCTCTGGGAATTTTGTATCTGGGCACAACATTGAATATTCCCTAGTTTTTAAACTTTTGCTAATTATGAAATAATGTTTTGTCCATTTAGTTACTACAAGATTTTTTCTGCTCTTTGAAATTTTTTTCTTATTTATAAATCTCATAAATGTATGGTAAAAATCAGAAAAATGTATAAATCCTATGTACACGGTCACACAAATATTCCCAAAATGGACAGTACTGAGATCAAGAGAAAAAAATAATCCTAATATCCCAGAAGTGCTCTCATTTACCTGTTAAGTTACTACATTATATAAGGTGAACACCCACCTTCTAAAACCATCATTAGGTGCACCTGTTTTTGAATCATATAAGAAAACATGCAATGTCTGGCTTTTTTCCACTGAATATTATATTCTAGACTTGTGTATTTTTCAGAGAGTTGTAATTCATGCTTCTTTATAGATAATTTGTTTCATAATGTGAAATGCCACGATTTATTTATTTGAATGTACATGGATATTGGTTTGTGCTATGGTTTGGGTAAGTGTCCTCCAAAAGACCCCTATGTTGAAAGCTCCATTCCTACCCCCTAGTGCTCTTGGGAAGCAGAGCAACCTCTTGGGTCTAGATGGAGGAAGTTAAGTCATCAGGGCCATTCCTTTGGGGAATATTAGGACCCTGGCCTTTTCTTTTTTCTCTCTTTTTCCTTCCCAGATGCCTTGAAGGGAGCAGCTTTACTCCACTACACACTGCCCATCATGAAATAATGTTTCACTACAGCCCATAATCCACTGAGTCAAGTGACTGTGTCTGAAACCTCTGAAACAATGATCCAAAATGGACTTTTCCTTTCTGATGAATTTATTATCTCAGGTATTTTGTTATAATAATAGAAGTACAAGTAACACAGGTTGTTTCCATTTGATGACTTTGTATGGTGCTACCCTTAAAGCCTTATAAATATTAAATATTCAACTGTTAAATTTCTGTGATGTAATTTTATTCAGTGATACATTATGGATAGAACTTTTGTTGTGGTCGCAGTGGTGTTTCAGTACTAGGGAATAACCACAGGGGAGTTCTACTACTGAACTCTATTCCCAAGCTCCCTTTCCTTTTCTAAAACTTTTGAGACAGGATCTCTGTATGGAGCTGAGGCTGGCTAGAACTTGCTATCCTCTTGCCTCAGCTTCCTGAGTCCTGAGGTTACAGGTGCATGCCATCCTGACCAGCCAGAAAAAAACTAGTGCAAACTATGATCTGTACAATTATTAAAAAGAAGTACCTGTTTATGTAGGATTTCTCCATTTATTCTATATCACCTTTGAATATCCACATTGATTTTGAAACCAAAGAATTAAAATTTAAGTACAAGAATAAAATGATTTTTAATATTTAATTGATCCTAAGTTTAATGGTGGGTAAAGGAAAATACACAATACAGAATCGTCTCTCAAGATATTTGCAAGTCATGTTTTATGCATTCTGTTTTGCCATTTTCATGCAGGGTACCAAAGCTGCAAAAGCAATTTAATTTCTGATGTGCAATTTTAATTATTAAAGTAAAACTATTTTTTTTTAATTTTAAAGAATTCATGGCAACTAATCTAAGCATAGTTTATTTATTTTGTTAATTAAGTTTTATAATTAGTAATTAAATAGGCATAAATTATTATGTAGGTTAAGGTATAGACTCTGATTAGAGTTTATATGATTCTTTTATGGTTTGATTAGAATTCTACTCCTCATTTATATCCCAGATGAACTTCAGGGGAACGTCTTTCATTTCCCTTTGGAATATCTGGTCAAATCTTTCATTCTGCTCCATAGTAAAATGATGTTTCCAATCTCCAGTGGTACCTAATGGGATAAGAACATGAATGGCACTTTGGTGAATAAAGAACACTTCATTTTAAAGACTGCCTCAACATTTGAACCCATGTGTCCCATTGTCCCAGATGTGGAACACCTGTCAAATTTAAGTGGAGCAACCAATATACCTCTTGTGGTAACTTTGTAATAATATGTGAATATTAGTATATTCACAGAATATAAAATTGGAAATTAATGGATTAATCTGTTTTCAACTAAGCTAAATATTTGTTCATGCCCACAGGATTGGAGACCTCATCTTTTCTTACTCAGGAATGATTGAATAAAGAATCTAGGAACAAAATAATGCTGTAAATAGATTTAAAGTTCACTTCACCATATGTTAGCCTTTCCCCCTATGTGAACCTTAAGAGGAAAAAAACTATACAGGATAAGACTATATTAGAATTTAACAAGTATGTTTTAGTATATCTACTCTTGTATATATACTAAGTGAACCTCACACTAAGTGAACCACATTTATCAACTGTAATATAATTCTTATTAAAACCCTCCCAGATAAGTCTTTCTTCCTTTTTAAATTTGAAAAAAATGAGACTCAAATATTTTCAACTAACTAAATCAAATTCATATAGAGCACCAGAGCTTCCCTTTCTGCATCTATATTTTATACAAGATTAAATCATCATTATGCCATTCTTTTTTGGGGGGAGGGAGGGGGTGACTGGAGATTGAAACTCATGGGCACTCGACCACTGAGCCACTCCCCAGCCCTATTTTGTACTTTATTTAGAGCCAGGGTCTCATTGAGTTGCTTTGCACCTTGTTTTTGCTGACGCTGGCTTTGAACTTGCATTCTTCCTGCCTCAGCGTCCTGAGCTGCAGGGATTATATTATGCCATTCTTCTTAAGTGAAAAATAACTTGGCATTTTCAGCTATCAGGTTCACTTGTGTAGACATTATTATTGGCCTTTGGAAAAGATAACAATCTTTTAGGGATATGAGAATTGCTTTTTATCTGCTGTAGCTGAGGAATGAAAAGGGAGAATTGATAATAAATGTCACCAAAAAAATAAGAATTTTAAAATATACCAATTTCTAGGGCAATGTCCATAAGATGTTTATACAATTGTTCATAAATTAATATTGATCATCCTATTGGTAAATTATGAGCCAATTATGATATAAAATGTGAATAAAGTAGAAGTGAAGTGTTTAGAATGTTTATACACTAAATGATTAAATTAAAAATTAACAATTTGAAGCCAGGTGTGGTGGTGTATGCTTGTAATCCCAGCAGCTCAGGAGGCTGAGGCAGGAGGTTGTTGAGTTCAAAGCCAGCCTCAGCAATGTGAGGCTCTAAGCATCTCAGTGAGATCCTGTCTCTAAACAAAATACAAAATAGCAGCTGGGAATGTGGCTTAGTGTTTGAATGCACCTGAGTTCAATCCTTGGTAATAATAATAATAATAATTTGAATTTGAAGGGTATCAGTTACAAGGGAAATAATATTCTTGACAACTACTTCAGGCATGTAATAAGATCACAGTGAAAATGAATTCAATGACTTTTTGAAGTAACTGAATTCATAGCATATAGCACTAATAAGATATCACTCTTTGTGATGATGCAATCTGACACATGGGAACACAGTAATCCCAGCAGAGCAAAATACACATTAAGTTTACTCCTTAGATTATTCTAGAAGAAAAAAGGGAAAATAAGGATTATTGTTCTTCTCATTTAATATACCTGACCAGGCTCATGTGACTTAGAAATAAGGCAATATTAATTAAGCAGTTTGTATACTAAAACACTTAGGTTTCTTGAAAACCTCTTCAGACCTACTCTCAACTAGATGCTTAATTTCTCTAGGTTCCAAATGTCACTGTTACTTGGAGAGACATAATGGAAGCACTTATTATTTCTCCTAGGTATCAAGGACTTGAATGACAGCTTACATCTTGCTACTAAGAACTACTCAATAGTACCTTTGCGCAGAAAATTTCCTTCATTGTTTCTCACTCCCATTTCCTGTTTTACAATATCATTATAATTTGCTTGTGGATTAGTCTTCATGTTCTGAAATGAAGCCTGTTTCACAACAGTATCCACGACTTCTTCACTAAGTTCTTTCTCAAGAAATCTACAGATTTTCAACACTGCACTTCTGAGGTCCTGAAAGAGTCATGAGTATGCATGAGTTACAGCCAAACACACAACATTTTCATATTCTAGTGAAATTGATTGCTGGAATGCAAAGAAATGTCATCATATGAACCATGCAGTTTGTTATGAGAAGAGAATGGGGAAACAAACTGACATGATTATCTCAATTGATGCACAAAAAACATTTAACAAAACCCAACATCTTTGAGCATGGGAAGAAGATTACCTCTACATAGGGAAGAAGGGTGGGAGGAAAAGGGAGTGAAAAAGGGAATTGCATGGATGGGGGAAGGAGACCCTCATTGTTATACAAAATACATGTATGAAGATGTGAGAAAGAAAAAAAAAAGAATAGCGTTACCCTAGACTAGGTAGAGAGAAGTGATGGGAGGGGAGTGGAGGGGCTGGAGAGATAGGAAGGATAGTAGAATGAAACAGACATTATTATTACTGTGTGTATATTATGCAACCTGTATACTCAGAAAAATGAGAAATTATATCCCATCTGCTTCAAATGTATAATATGTCAAAGTCATTGTACTGTCATGTGTAACTAATTAAAACAAAAAACAAATGAAAAAAATAAATGTTAAAAAAATACTCACTGATATTTACTCAGAGAATAAAATTTTAGCTTAAAAAAAACCGGACTGGGGATGTGGCTCAAGTGGTAGCACGCTCGCCTGGCGTGCATGCGGCCCGGGTTCGATCCCAAGTACCACATACAAACAAAGATGTTGTGTCCGCCAAAAACTAAAAAATAAATATTAAAATTCTCTCTCTCTCCTCTCTCTCTCTCTCTCTTTAAAAAAAAAAAGAATTAAAAAAAAAAACCCAGGTGTAAGGCCGTTCGCTTGTCTAGGCGCGGACAGAAGGCGGCGCAGAACAGAGGTTTTGCTTGTGGGACACCAGACCTAGCTCTGGACACAGCACAAGGTTACCCCAGCACCCCACACCTCACCAAACATCCTATGCGGGTAATAGATGGAATCCATCTTGGAAAACCTTACTCACCATCTTTCGGGGTGTGTGGCTACCAGCACGGTTCTGCGGCTGATCAGGTACCCGGTTTCCAACTCCCCCAACCCCAGAGGTGATAACTCAAAAATTTTCCCAGAAGCTTTTGGGGGGCGTAGCTATCAATGCAGAACAGCAACTGTACAGGCACCTGGTTTCCAACTCAGAGACTAAGAGTAGGGAGGCTCCAGGTAGAAGTTCAAGCCCTCTCACGCTGGCTACCTTCACCACCCTAAACGCAGAGACTCAAGCTAGGAATAGACAATGCCACCTACTGAAAGAAAAGGAAACAGAGTTCTGAGACTTTTTTTTCTTCTTTCTTTTTTTCTCGCTCTTCTCATCCAATCTCCTCTAACCTTCCCCCTCTGGTCCTCACAACCTCAATATATGTGAATCCAAGATCTTTGCATGAAATTAGACTTTAAGAACTGAATCACCAGAATAATATAATATAGAGGAATTGCATAGGCCCCACCTCACCCCCCCTTTATTTTTTTTCTTATTTTCTTTCTCCCTCTCTTTCTTTCTTTCCTTGTTATTTTTTTCTCTTTTCTTCTTTCTTCTTCACCCTATCCCACTTTCAATCTTCTTTTACTTTTTATATGTAGGGTAATTTTCTAAATACAGATAAGGAGTTGAAGTTATAAAATTTTCCATAAATTATCACTGTCTATTCATTAGAGTTCTCTTCTAAAGTTGCTAAGTTAGAGTAATCCTATACCCTTACACCTTTCCCCCTTAACATGATGTCCTGCGCCTGACCCTCAGTTCTCAATACGCCACCAGATATGGTATGCCTTTTATGAAACTAATGACTGTATTCTAAACAATAATTGAAGCCAACATCTGTAGACATAGAGTCTAACTATAAATGTAGTAATAATGAAAACTTGCTCATAGATGATGTATTATTGATATTTGGAACTGTTAACATTGTTTTTCTCCACAAAAGAGAGATTTTTGGAACTATATAAGAGCAACATAAATATATAAGGGGAAAAATATTAACACAACAGTTACACAGAGCTGGAAGGAAACATGAGTAATATGAAAAGGCAAGGAAAGAAAGGACCACAAACAATGCAAGACAAGTAAACATTAGACGAGGTAACATCTGCAGCAGAAGGAATGTCAGATAAAGATTTCAGGATACACATGGTCAGATGATCTGGAGTCTTAAGAAAGATATTAGACAGCAAATGCAGAGAATGAAAGTTCACATTGACAATGAATTACATAAGCAAATCCAAGAAGCAAAAGATCAACTGTACAGGGAGATAGAGGTTATACAAAAAAAACCAAACAAACAAACAAACAAAAAAAACCAGAAATCCTGGAAATGAAGGAAATTATAAACCAAATTAAAAACTCAAATGAGAGGATCATCAGTAGAGTAGACCAATTAGAAGTCAGAACATCAGTCAACGAAGACAAAATATATCATCTTGAAAAGAGCCTAAACAACTCAGAAAAACTGATAAGAAACCATGAGCAGAACATCCAAGATACCATAAAAAGACCAAACTTTACAGTTAATTGGGATAGAGGAAGGTATAGAGGTCCAAATCAAAAGAATGAGCAATCTGTTCAATGAAATAATTTAGAAAACTTTCCAGACCTGAAGAATGAAACGGAAATCCAAATCCTAGAAGCCTACAGGACACCAAATGTAGGAAACCACAAGAGACCCATGCCAGGACACATTATAATGAAAATGTCCAACATACAGAACAAGGAGAGAATTTTAAAAGCTACAAGAGAAAGGAGGAAGATTACATTTAGGGGTAAACCAATTAGGTTAACGGCTGATTTTTCATCACAGATGCTGAAATCTAGAAGATCCTGAAACAACGTATTTCGAATGCTGAAAGATAATGGGTTCCAACCAAGAATCTTGTATCCAGCAAAACAAAGCTTCAGGTTTGACAATGAAATATAAACCTTCCACGATAAACAAAAGTTAAAAGAATTTGCAGCTAGAAAACTGGCCCTGCAAAGCATCTTGGGCAAAACATTACACGAAGAGGAAACAAAAAATAACAATGAAAATCAACAGTGGGAAGTAGTACAGTAAGGAGAAAAACTATTCAAAGAGGAAAAACAAATCAAGTGAAATAACAAAAATAAACAAACATGGCTGGAAGTACAAACCATATCTCAATAGTAACCCTAAATATTAATGGATTAAACTCACCAATCAAAAGACATAGGCTAGTAGACCGGATTAAAAAAAAAGATCCAACAATATGCTGCCTACAGGAGTCTCATCTGATAGGAAAAGACATATACAGATTGAGGGTGAAAGGTTGGGAAAAATCATACCACTCACATGGACCTCGGAGGCAAACAGGGGTGTCCATACTCATATCAAATAAAATAGATTTCACGCCAAAGTTAATCAAAAGGGATAAAGAAGGACACTACATATTGCTAAAGGGAACCATTCACCAACAAGACATAACAATCATTAATATATATGCCCCAAACAATGGTGTAGCTATGTTCAACAAGCAAACTCTTCTCAAGTTCAAGGGACAAATAGACCACAACACAATAATCATGGGTGACTTTAACACACCTCTCTCACCACTGGAAAGATCTTCCAAACAAAAGTTGAATAAAGAAACTATAGACCTCAATAACACAATTGATAACTTAGACTTAATTGACATATATAGAATATATCAACCAAAATCAAACAGATACAATTTTTTTCTTAGCAGCTCATGGATCCTTCTCAAAAATCAGCCATATATTATGCCATAGGGCAACTCTTAGCAAATATAAAGGAGGAGAGATATTACCTAGCATTTTAACCGATCATAATGGAATGAAATTGGAAATCAACGATAAAATAAGGAAGAAAAATTCTTACATCACTTGGAGAATGAACAATATGCTACTGAATGAACATTGGGTTCCAGAAGACATCAAGGTGGAAATTAAGAAATTCTTAGATTTAAATGAAAACACAGACACAACATATCGAAACCTATGGGTCATTATGAAAGCAGCACTAAGAGGAAAATTCATTGCATGGAGTTCACTCCTCAAAAAAAGAAAGAGCCAACAAATAAATGATCTCACAATACATCTCAAAGCCCTAGAAAAAGAAGAGCAAATCAGCAGCAAATGCAGTAGAAGGCAAGAAATAACCAAAATCAGAGCTGAAATTAATGAAATTGAAATAAAAGAAACAATTGAAAAAATTGACAAAACTAAAAGTTGGTTCTTTGAAAAAATAAATAAGATTGACAGACTCTTAGCCATGCTAATGAAGAGAAGAAGAGAGAGAACCCGAATTACTAGCACATGGGATGAAAAAGGCAATATTACAACAGACACTACAGAAACACAGAAGATAATTAGAAATTATTTTGAAACTTTATACTCCAATAAAATAGAAGATAAAGAAGGCATCGATAAATTCCTTAAGTCATATGATCTGCCCAGACTGAGTCAGGAAGATATACATAACTTAAACAGACTAATATCATGTGAAGAAATAGAAGAAGCAATCAAAAGAATACCAACCAAGAAAAGCCCAGGACCGGACGGATATACTGCAGAGTTTTACAAGACCTTTAAAGAAGAACTAATACCAATACTCTTCAAACTATTTCAGGAAATAGAAAAAGAGGGAGTACTTCCAAATTCATTCTACGAGGCCAATATCACCCTGATTCCAAAACCATACAAAGACACTTCAAAGAAAGAAAATTTCAGACCAATATATCTAATGAATATAGATGCAAAAGTCCTCAATAAAATTCTGGCAAATCGGATACAAAAACATATCAAAAAAATTGTACACTATGATCAAGTGGGTTTCATCCCCAGGATGCAAGGCTGCTGGTTCAACATACGGAAATCAATAAATGTAATTCACCACATCAATAGACTTAAAGATAAGAACCATATTCTACCATGCGGCCTGCGCAATGGTTTCATTAATGAGGTTCTAGGCATAAAGTTAGTTAGAAGAGATCGAA